TCAATGGTCAAACTGGTGGTGTTAAAGGTACATGGATTGGCCCAATTACTGTAGGGCACTCCAGCCCTTCCCTGAACAGGTAGGAGGCTCTAGCAAGCCCACTAGCCCTGGGATCCCCTAGATTCTGTGACTAGAATTTAAACAGAATTAGGTGCCTAACCCTGAGTCTGCCTCAATATTATTGGATTTATTTCTAATAACCCTTTCATTTAAGATATTATTGGATTCTTTAATGGAACAGAGTTGGGAATTCCTCAAGCTTACAAGACAGGTTGACTGTTATAGGATGTCTCTTCCAGTGCCTGCTTACTTATAAATATGGATGATGCAAAAATTGGTCTAAAACCTCATGTCAGTGTAAGGTTTGGGGGAAGAATATCTATAGCCCTCACCCACATCTCCTTACTACATACAGGCCACCAAAAGCAAATAATAATTGCAAGTGGCCAAGTTGGCCAAGTCTAGCTTGCAACAATTTTCTCTAAAGAAGAAAATACATATGCCTTTTCAGGTACCATAAGATTAATCCAGTCATAGCTACAGTTGAATGAGCTTTCAAAAAGCAGTTTTTAGTTAACAGAAGAACTGGAAGTCCCTGGTTCTCCTATAAGATCGGCAAATAGGCCAAAGACAAAAGACCTTGTCAGTGAAGCACAGGAACAAGAGAAGCACAGAGCTGTGTGACATTTCTACTTCACACCCTTCCTCTTCTTCTGGCTTCCCACCAAGCCAGCTTTCGTTCTTGCTGTCCAATATGAGTGCCACCACCCCTGTGGTGAAACAAACTAAACAGTGCAATGAACTAAGTTGAGCAAGAGGTGTTAGAAGTTTGAGCCAGTAAAACTGAACCCACTGACATGGAGTGGTTTTAGTTATTTATAAGACTGGTTAGTTTTGCTGCTATGGTTAATTTAATATTGGGTCTGAGCATTTTGAGAAGTTCAAAAACTAACTAAAAGTGAGTGTGTGTTCTTGCTGTCATCTTAATAAACATTTCTATGGTTTTGTCCACGTTTCCTCTTATAACTCAGCTTTAAAATTTAAAAAAAACACAAAACCCTCTTCTCTAACAACCTTCTACAAAAACAGATTTGAAAGAAGACCAATGATAAGCATGATCCATGGGAGTGCAGTGTGGGAGTGTGGGCCTTTCTGTCCCCACAGGGGCTGCTGGAAAGGGAACAAACAGGAGTTTGGTTCTAATCAGTATGATGATTCACTCAAGGTTCTTGCCCTAGAATCCAGTCCATATTGTGCACTCAATAACAACGGCAGCTGTCATTAGTAGTAATTTGAAAAACTAATTCAGCAACTACTGGTCATGGTAACACGTACTTTCAATTCTAGTCAAAGCTTGAAAGGCTAGAATCTAGGTATCAAGGTGTCTACATGACATTTACTGCAGTACAAGGAATGTCTTCCTTATACTCAAATCAGGTCTGACATTTTCATTTGCCACTTGGTTCTCCCTGGGGACACTATGGTATTCAAAATGCTGCAAAGGTTCAACATGCAACAGTAATAGAGACACAGGCATTCTCACTTGAAGAGAACTTACAAATAGTCCATCCATTGTTACAAGTCTCACCATATTGCTGATAGGGAAGGTGTTATAATCTCTGCTTTATGGACAGGGGCAACTGATGCCCTCGACTTGTTAAGTGACTTGTCTAAATTTTCATGGCTGGGAAAGGGTGAAGCTTGGAGTAGAACCTGCTCTTTTGATTCTTGGTATAATGGTCTATCCTCTAAGCCTCCAGGAAATAAGAGGTTGGAAGGGAAGGCTCTATTGTCTGTAAAGAATAGCACCAGGAGACCAGCACAGTGCCGGAAAAGACTGCACAATGAGAAACAAATAGTAAATCTTAGATTACTGTTAAAGAGGATTTAGGCAATCATTCTCAAAGATGGACAAACTACACTATTCCTATGCATACACAAGCCATAAAAAGTTAATGAGGGGACCTCTTAATTTAGTTTAAGGCACATTTCTTTAGTATATACGATGGGTATGTCACAGGGAAACTTAGTACCGGTAAGACTTTTATATTACGTTCCCCAAAGAGCACAGACGTCTTCGAAGTGAGAACACATATAAAGGTCAGGGATAGGGGAATCCTTATAGAAGACAGAACAGATCACCATTAAAGAATTAATCTAAATTCTAATCCCATTACATGGACCAATTCTATGTGGACCAGCTGCTTGATTTTAGTGTGGTCTGCACAGAACTGGTTATCTGCACACTCCCAGAGCCTGGGCGGCCCCCACAAAAGCTGTGTGTTTAGGATGGACACACATACTCGCCCTTGAAATACAGAGCTGCACCATGAGTGGGTAAGTCCTCTGGGATTCATTTCTGTTTCAGTGTGTTTTAGTAAAACCAGGAGAGCCTCCAGTATCAGCTGTGGCTTACATCCCTAAGCCTCACTCCCTGACCTTTAAGAGTCTAAGTTCCAATTTTAGATAGCCATCGTCAAGCTGTCTAGGCTCCAAATTTGGAGATTGACAGGCTAATTTTGGAGGGTATATTTTGGTTGAGGGGGCTGGTTGATCAAACCCTTTTAAAGCTCCTTTCAATTCCACTCAGTATTTGGAGAGAACAGATGGGATACAATTATACAGCTTACGCGACCCGTGCAAGGGGCCAAGAGCTATAAAATCTACCATTTGTTAAAGAAATACCATACCTGACAGAGACGCAAAAAGGACATCGAACTGCCTGGCTGTGAGGGAGGTATCCACATGCTGAAATTCCTTTTCCATAACTACACTGAGAATCTTAACAAATGCAACAGTGGGTTCTTCTTGGTAGGGAAGGCGTTATAGCAAGTCAAAGGGCACCTCAAACCCTTCCCTTGTGCAAATGAAGACATCTCTTTTCCCCACTGGGCTTCAGGTGAGCTTCTAAGACACTGATCCAACGACCTGCTTCCCTGCAGGACGCTGGGAGCCGCCTCCCATGTGGGAGGCATGTTTAGCTTTCTGAAGGAGACGATGCTCCATAGTATCTCCTCCTCTGTAACATCCAGGATTTTATAAAAACACTTCCCTGGGAGGAAGAGCTCTGACCACAGTCATGTTTCTGTTGGAAAACAATTAATTGCAGGGATTCCTGTACCTTTAATCACACTAACTGACTGATTGGATCCCACGCAATAAAACAAAATATATCCTTTGCGTCCACTTGCTACAAAGGGCAGTAAAGTCTAGCTCTGTGATACAGCTGTGAGAGGCCTTAGACTTTACCTTTTGATCTCATATCACTTTTAAATTGCTAATTATCTAGCCAAAGCACTGAGAATTTTCTCCCAGAATAATAGGTCTCCCAGGCCACTGGGGGAGTGTATTACTGCTGTAGAACCACCAGGTGATTTCTCTGACCGAGGGAACTAAGGAAAGGAAACAAACACAGGAGCAAAAACCAGAGCCAGCCCTACGTGAATCGCAAGGTATTGTTGGCATCTCATTAGAAATCTGTGTTAATATTCTCCTGCCCCCTTGAAGCTTAGGTTGGAAATATATGTTTTGTAGCACTATGTCACTCTTTTCTCAGAGATGACAAGTCTGTAAGTGGTGTGTTTTTTATATCAATAGCATTCCTCTAATCTTCCAGAATCCACAATAAACCTTGCTTCCTTATGCTGTGTGGGAGGTTGATCGACATTTGTACCTGTGCTCCCTCCTCTGCTCACCCCACTCTAATTACCACCTTGAATCTCAGCAAGGAAAAGTTGGCAAAGGAAAGTGAGAAAACTCAAGACTGATATTGGCAGGCACCAGAATGGTGCAGGATACACTGGTATGTATCCTACCTTACTGTAGGTCACTGCATTACTGGCTTTTGTTTTAGCTTTTCTTTATTCTTGTTGTTGACCAGGTATCACAGGGGAGGAGAGGTCAAAGATAATTTGTGGGTTCAGCACATTTGCCACAATGTTGTGGCTCTTTTTTTTAAGTTTTCAAATTTTCCACCTGCTATTTCAAAACAGCAGTTATTTCACAGTGATTTTCTAGCAGGCTTTTTTGAGGTGGATAAACCATGGACAATACACAGTCTGAAGAATGCAGAGGGGGCAAAGCCTGTGTGCATGGGATTAGTTTGAAAGAGATTTCAGTAGGGAAAGCTGAGCCTGTCATATACAATATCACAGAAGAGGAAAAAGGCTCAAGGCTGTCCACCATTTATACCGGGTCTTTGGAATTTAATAGGTGAGAAGTAAGCTAATCTGGCTAGTAAAGAACAGAACTGTGGGAACAGGGACAGAGCAAGAGACGGACCTTGGTTAGCACTCTGCTAATCAACATTAGACAGATACGCAGACTAGGCAGGAAATATACCCCTCAGGAACTCGGTGATCAAGAAGGAGCATCTAATACAATATGGCAAGAGTCTGAAAGCAACCAACATACTTGAAGGTTTAAACTACCCTTTGTTGTTTTGTGGATAAAGAACAAATTTTGCCTCTTTCCCCAGGCCTCTTATTTGTACATAGGTGTTGTGATCATATTAAGCATAACAGGGAAAGCCAAATTCCAACTAAATAATTAGTGCAATGGATTTTGAATTCCTGTTCCTGCCCGTTTGATTGACTGATACACAGGCTGGCCTGCCTGAGACCCAGTGAGGTTAACACTCCCAGCCTTTCTTTCTGGAGAATTGCTGCTGGCATCCCAGGCAGATGCTCTCCTTTAAAATGAACATTCCACTATAGGCCAGATGTTTAGTAGTTAAACACCATCACACCATTGACACAGAAACACACAAAGCTGCAGTCAAGGTCACAGACACAGCTGGTGGTGAAGGAAGTCTTACTGGGGGGGGGGTGGGTGGGGGGGGAGAGAAATTCGCCATTGGCCCCAAATCATTCATCACGACTTCTGATACTTAGAGGGGGACCGTTTTATATGAGAGAGAGCAAAATAATAACTATTGACCTTGGTTTCTTTTCCCAATCTGGGAATAACGTTCAGTAGAACACCCACTGGAAGCAGAGCCATCACACATAATGCTCTCGGGGGTTGATGCAGACTCTCTCGGGATCGTTGCTCTGATGATGCTTGCCAGGGCTCCGGTCTTGGTAGCACATCTGGTTGTAGAGAGGGTACATCTGCTGAATTCCATCTTCCCCCACTGGATTCTCATCTTCATAGTCAAATCTCCTGCTATTCAGTCCATTCTAAAAATTCAAACATTGCTTACATTAGCAGAACAGCTGTTGGCATTTTCCTAGCACTTTAGTAAAAACAAGCAAGAAGAGAATTCATTGCAGTCTGTGTCCCTGGTTCCTTAAACCACAAATTATTGAATGGTAAGGTAAAGTTCAACAAATTTTCTTTTTTTAGTCCTTTGTTGCTTTCAATACCTGAACAAGACTGGTGATATCTCCTAAATAGAAAATTGTGACTAATGACTGGAGACTTTAGTCAGTTTCAGGCTTTGAGATTTGGAATTAGTATCAGTTAAGGTAAACTGGAGGAAAAGAAGGCTGCAAACTTCAGGTGTCCCTCAGCATGGCTCAAGCTTGGAATGAATGCATGAGATATAAAGGGTATTTCCCCCAAAATATATACATGCTCTAAACGCTGATGGCTCAATTTAAAAAATGAAATGTATTTTAATAAACACTGCCTTTATAATTATTCCAAGTGTATGTATACATTTTTTGGGGGACAAACAACCAAAAACAATGAAACACACACACAAAAAAAAATCCAAAAAGAAACTTCAAGATTCAGCACTGGGTCATTAGGGAAGACGCTCAGAAAAATGAACTGGTTTTTGACCAATTCCCAACATACTGAGAATAACAAATACTATAAAAAATACATGTGTTCTTTTCTCCTGACTGGTATGGCTAGTGATTGAGTGTCCACCCATGGACTAGGAAGTCATAGTTTGATTCCCAGTCAGGGGACATATCTGGGTTGCAGGCTCAATCCCCAGTGTGTGGTATGCAGGAGGCAGCCAATCAATGATTCTCTCTCATCATTGATGTTTCTCTCTCTCTCTCTCTATCCCTTCATCTCTGTGGAAAAAAAAATTCTGTATTTCTTTCTTCCTTACATAGCTGACACTATAAAATGAACCCCATAGTGATCTCTTTGTCTGGAACTGATCCCTGTATCTGGTTATTCATTTCATAAAATTTGGTTACTTCTAAGAGGGATAAGCAAGCCTAAGAACTTTATAAAATGATACTGCAGATATTAGATATCAGAGAGGTGAATAAAATAAAATTTCATAGAAATCAAGTGATATTTTAATAAGTATGGTGGCCACTGGCTCCACCTGGGCTGACCTCAGCAGCAGACCGAGTTACTCACAGAGGGCTGGAGACCGCCAACCTCTCTTCCTTTGAAGTGACTCTGCAAAGGCAGGCGTTCTGTCTGGAAGAAGAAGAGAGAAAAAGGTCTGCCTGTTAGAGCACCAAGCACATGGCAAAACAGATAGACTGAGACCACTAAGACTCCTGTTTTTGTAAGAGGTAACCATGTCTTTTGAAATGTTTGCCAACTAAGCAAAATGCTCTACATGAAGATGTGAAAAACAGCTACATTTCTTGAGAGGTTTTTTTTTTTCCTCTCTCTTTCCTGGCTCCAGACTTCTGGAAGGAAGAAGATACTCAGAACATCTGCTGCAGAAGTTCTCAGGCAAACTTGTTTATACCTTACTTCAAGAAGGACTCAGCACAAAAGGTCTCTCACCTTTTCTCAGGAAAAAGTTCCATTTTAAATCGCTGAAAGTAGTTTTGTGATGCTAATGAAAGGTCATTTTTAAAAAAATTTCTCTATAGATGGTTTACACAGTCACCCTTCTCTTCTTGTTATTATGCTCTATCCCCGAGTCCCACAGAGAACATAAAGGGGACTCATGGTTTTCAAACCCTGAGAAGGCTCTTTCTCAGCGGCTCTTTGGCTTATGCACACATCCTTACTCTTCAGTCTCCAGGTCAGATATCACCTCTTCCTGGAAGCCTAGCACTAAGTCCTCAGGCAGACAGCCACTCTCCTTTCTGTGTCTCAATATTTTACTAGTATGTATATGTCTGTCTCCTTCATCCCAATATTTTACTAATATGTATATGTCTATCTCCTTCACTAGAGTGCGAGTGCTGGTTGGAATATTTTACAACATCATTTCATTTAATCTATACTAATAAAAGAGTAATATGCTAATTAGACTGGGAGACCTTCCAAATGTCCTTCTGGACAAAGCCCATGGTGGCGGGGTTGAGGCAGAGGCGATTAGGGGCAATCAGGCCGGTGGGGAAAGAGGGCAGTTGGGGGGGGTGAACAAACCAGGGGGTGGCAGTTGGGGACAAGCAGGCTGGCGGGGGGCGGCATTTGGGGATGATCAGGCAAGGAGGGGAGGGAAGTTTGGGGTGATCAGGCCAGTTGGGGGGCATTTGGGGGCAAGCAAGCTTGTGTGTGGGGAGGGAGATGGGAACAATCAGGCCAGAAGGGAAGGGCAGTTGGAGGTAATCGGGCTGGCAGGGGCGAAGCTGGGGATGAGCAGGCTGGTGAGGGAGCAGTTGGGGGGTCAGGCCAGTGGGGGGCAGTTGGGGGCAATCAGACTGCCAAGGGAAGGCATTTGGGGGCAAGTAGGCCAGCAAGAGGGTGAGCAGGCTGGCAGGCAGAGTGGTTGGGGGCAATCATGTAGGCAGGCAGGTGAGCGGTTAGGAGCCAGTTGTCTCAGATTGCAAGAGGGATGTCTGACTGCCAGTTTAGTCTCTGGTAACTAAAATACTACCCATCCATCTTGCCCTGACTAAAGTCATTATTTTCTCCTACAAGGCTTTTCCAGATTGCCCATTAAAGTTAACTTCTCTATTCCCAGTTTTCCTATTGTTCTTGTTTATATCTCTATCAGAGCACTCATTGAGATCTGTTTCATTCATAGCTTTTAATGTTTTTGTCTTTCAAGGCCATAAACAATGAGCCATTCTTGGCCATCATCCTCCATCCTCATACCCTAGCCTGTGGTTCTATAACAAGAAGAAGTCAACAGTTAACCAGAGAACTTACTGAATTCTAAACTATCAATTCTTGGTATCCCGTTCAGGATTATCCAAATTATAAATGATCTGTGCCAAATGTGTCTCCCCTGTCATATTTTGTGTGATTCTGGGTGCTTTCTACATGATCAATTCATATAGACAGTACACAAAAGTCCAATGCTGGGCCAATCTCAGGGAAGAGTGACCAGTCACACAGGATCTAGTGCTCACCAGGGTCCCACTTTGGGGGCTTATGCTCTGTGGTTGCCATCTTAAGTTTCTTCATGTCCTTAGAATGTGTATTGAAAGTTAGTTATCTAATAGGACAAAGAAGCAGCTTTAGGGACTTGCAGCCTCAGCTCCAGGGTGTCCTGCCACCCACTGTTGGTCACTGATTTAGTGCTTGGCCACCGCTCACACACTCTGGTGCCAAGTCCCCTCCCTCTACATACATAGGGTGTCCCAAATATTATAAGGACAGTGTTTACTAAAGTATATTTTATTTTCAACATTGAGCTATCAGCCCTTAAAGTGTGCATTTTTGGGGACACCCTGTACTTTCCCCTCCTGCCCCTGACGAGTAACTGTTGCTGCTCTCTGCCTGGCAGGGGCCTTAGAACTAGCACAGGAAGGCTGGGGTCAGGGGTGCATGCCCCTCTGCTTCATCCATATCTGGTATCAAAAGGCACCTAGTCTGGCCATCTTGACATTCTTAAGTTTAAAACAAGGGGCCCTGCATTTTCATTTTCCCCTGAGCCTCTCAAATTATGTAGCTGGTCCTGATCCAAGGAAAACAGACTCAGGAAAAAATACCCAAAATTAAAATTCACATTTTGCTTGGTCTATTTGCTGTTTTAGATGGTCGCTGTTGCTGTTCCCCTTCCATTAATGCAGGTCGTTGGGAAATGATTCTATGTTACTGCTGTATGTAATTTGCTGGGAAGCAGAGCACTCAGACGCCTCTGCAGAGAGAGTAAGTGCCCTTCTCCCGCTGGTGGCGGTGTGTGGAGAGCAAGGGTACAGTCCATATGGAAAGAGATCATGTTCCAGAAATACAGTGAATAGGGCCTCAACAGTTCAAGAGAAGACTTAGTTGAAATATGTGCTGCTTTATTTTTATGCTATAAAATTCCAAATGGTCATTCACACTTTACTGAACACTTGGCAAGATTTGTATTTGGTCATTACCAACAAAATGCACTACAACCTTAAGTTCTCCTTAGAAGCCAGTATTCATGGAGGACACTGGATGGCACAGCATCATGAGTAACAATATAACCAGTGTTAGTTTAATGGCATTGGGGAGTTACAGAGGAAGGAAATTCTATTCTGTTTCAATACAAAGAGATTTCAGAGATCCATGGCTTTGTAAGTAATGAAAGCATTGCTACCTGTTTCTCATAATAGGAGATGTAAATTTAACCAGAAGTGGTACATTTGACAATAAAGGACAAGAATAAAGGGGGACCTACATTGGAACGATCTTCACATGTACTAATTGGACAATTAGCAAATACCCAAGCTCATCTTCTCTACCTAATATTGTAAACCTTCACCCATAAATTACTATGCCTTCTACAAGCCCATGAACTTTTATTTTGATAATACAACTAGAGGCCCAGTGCACAAAATTCATGCACGTGGGATGGGGGGGGGCCCTCAGCCTGGCCTGCACCCTCTCAATCCAGACTCCTTGGGAGATATCCAAACCAGCAGTCAGACATCCCTCTCACAATCCTGGACTGCTGTCTTCTAATTGCTTACCTACCTACCTGCCTAGTTGCCCCTAACTAACCCCCCCTCCCGCCAGCCTGGTCACCCCAACTGCCCCTTCTGCTGGCCTGGTCACCACCAACCATTTCCCTCCACTGGCCTGGTTGCCCCATGAAGCCTGCTTGTTCAGTAATTTGGTCATCACATACTAACCCCCCTGCCAGCCTGGTCACAAGTAGCCATCTTGAGAGACTGTGAAGATCAATTTGCATATTACCTCTTTATTATATAGGATATTTAATCAAATAGTTTGTATAGACAAGGAGCCCCACATATCCTAGGGATGCACCCACCTCACCCCTACAACCTGCCCCAGAATCAAGGGCTATTGAAAAGCATGCATGTCTCAGCCACACTTTATTCTAACAGTGGGTGGCTGCATATGTTCTCTTTTTGCTAGTCCATAACTACCTGAAATGTTGCATATTATAATTCCTTTAAAGAGTTACTGATCACAGTATATAGAAAAGTATATGGCATAATACCTCACAGATTTGGTGTTTGATAAATATGTAATGAATTAATCTATAATACTTTAATTGTTAGATTCATGTAATGTATTATTTTTGAATGTTTTTCCTAGAAAAACTTGGGCTACTCTGAATCTCTAATACATGTTTCAGTTTCCCTATTTACATGTATCCACCATGTTAGAGCAATTTCTATTGAGCTACAACCCATATCACTTTCCTGATTTACTAAAGTCACAGAGTCTTTCATTCCTGGATTCCAAGGTGCCAAAAGACCAGTTTTTCAAGTTTCATTTTATGTGATCTTAATAAAAATTTTACATTTTCTGGCTCAAAATATAAACCAAAATCTTCATTTTTTACTATGTTTTATATTTAACCTGTTTCCAAAACAAAGTTTTCAGAGTAGTTGAGGTTTATTTTCAGTAATGACAGAGCAAGATTTTGAGCCACTATAGCCATGAGGTCCACAATAACTGGACACTCAGCTCTCTCTGGCAGTGTTCATGTGGATCCACTATTCCCACTTCCCAATCTGAGTCTTTTTGGTCTCCAATTTTATTTCATAATTTCATCTTTAGAGAGAAATGAAAAGACCATATCCAGTAAAAATTTAACTTCTAAAAGAAGATCCTTAGCTTACCTCTCTTAAAAAATATCTAAAACTCATTACCTGCTGAAGGAGCATCTGTCTTCCCTCAGTTCTTATTGTGAAGATATGCTAAGCACCCCACAACCTCACACCTGCTGTGTAATTGGTCTCTCCTCCATTGCTTTTATCCCAATTCAAGCATTTGCTGTGCTTCCCTATCACATTACTGGATAACTGTCCACTGCCACACCAGACATAATCAAATACCTTAATGTACAGTCACTACTTCATATGGAACCAGAAAATCTCAGAGTATAGATTATATGAATAAAGTATGAATAAGTATAATACTCAATTACTTTGATTCTGACTGAAATCGTGGCCGGTTCTCTTAGAATTGGAGCAAATTATTACACAGTGCCCTATTACACCTGTATAGAAACTCTGAATCTTGGATAATACAACCTTTTTATGACTCTCTACTTTTTAGTGCTTCAAATTCTTATGTTATTTTTCTCAGTTCCACCGTTGAGCAGGCGAATCTTAACTCTTTCT